CAATTAAAACAAATTGCAGCGTGAATGTTATCACAGATTTTGTTCAATTACAGTGCAATCTGCAGTTAATTCGCGTTTATGACAAAAGCTTTTCATGTTAGTTAATAAAAGCTTTTTTCACTTTATTATTTTGATTTGATGGTGAGAAAACTACAGAGCGAATCGCAGCAAAAAACAAAACCCTGGTCACAAAGTTTATCGTTGATTCCACCCCCGCTAACTAGACGTAATCCCACCCCCTTCAATATCACCCATTTTCCTTAACTCATGCCCTTGCTTTCTGGCTTAGATTAATCTAGTTCACTAGGTATTAAGTTTAACTACTCTCATCTCTCTCTCCCCTGATTAGTGGAATGAAGTTTCCTCAATGCTGTGGGGATCTTCTCCATTCCTAAGAGGTGGTTTTAGTCTCACACTGTGGCTTTCGATGGGAATAAAATGGGAATAATTAATCATCTTAAAGGAAAACTTCAGCAGTTATTGAAAGCTACTGACAATTAAATAGAACAGATGTTTTAGTTGTCTAAGCTGTTATTCTTGAGATATGTTATAGTTTTCTTGAAAATCGTATGCTTAAGAAAAGAGAAAAAAGAATTGGTTCTAACACTCAATATGCTTAGATAGAAACACATTTTTTCATACATACATTTTATTCATAGTGCAGTGACGTAGCACTTTTTGTACTATTTTATATTTTTCATTGTTTTACAATTTTAAAATTCAATTAGATCAAAAAATCGAATGCATTATATCTTTAATTATGCATATATCTTTGCATTATTCATTAATTAATATTATCATTGACAGTTTCATGTATGTGTTTGGACTTACTTAAAAACTACACCACGTCTGATCTACTCAGAAATCTGTTTTTGTTTTTGCACTGTTTAAACAGCTTTTTCTTTGACTTGTTTTTACTTTGTCAGTCAGCCAGTCCGGTATGTTTTTTCAAGTGTTTTTGAAATCACCAGAATGACTATCTACTAGTTTGTTCTTCACTTAGTACAAGTATTTGTGCCCCTGGCGATTTTGTTACGGATCTACCAATAACATATGATGCAAGTTGCTAGCACGTGCATATCACCTATGTACAATTTGCTTTCAATTTACATATGGCATAGAAAGTCATAAATTTAGTTTGCATACCTGTTTTATAGTAATTTATTCAAATAAGTTTATTATATTATGTATATTATATATGCAAGTTCTATGGCAATTAAATCTGTTTTAGAAACAGGCGATAGGCTCAATATGGTAAACAGTTTATAAAATGCTTGTTCTTACAGGAAATCTAGAGATTATTTTCGAACATATTTTAATGTGAAAAGAGAGCTTTAAGTGGAGTAGTGTCTGCATTCACGTAATGGAGTCTGCCTTTAATCCACAGAACGACAATTAATTGCAGGAAAGGATTTAGCATAATGCTTTGCGTTAGGATCTGATATGTTTAACAAAAATTCAAGAATATAGCTCTACAAAATTACGAAATAACTCTTGAATACTCTGTTTACATCAGTCTTTCAGTATGGAGATACGAGTATAGAAAATCAAAAAATTGAGAGTATGCTAATCTTATTACAGCGTTACGATCTAATCTGTTGAGTAAGAAATCAAGAAATACGCCTCTACAAAACTCTGATTACACCAGTCTTTCAACATGGTTCGGAGATATAGAAGAAAAAAGAGCTGATGTAAATGAGGTAGTTGAGTTTGAACGAAAACTGTTTAGAACTTATTTAGGGCACACCAAGATAAACTGATGGAAATTTTAAAATAACGTAATATGATTAAAATTCTAGTATTGTATACTTAATTATTTTATGAAATTATAAAAATTTAAATAATCGCGTCTTGCAACCGAAACATCAAAGGAAACTTCTACAATGAAATGTGTATGGGTAAACTAAGAATACTACCAGTACCTCCACTGATGTAAGAAAACCCTTGACGCAAACGGTGTTCTAACCCTTATCAGAAACCCTTTAATGTGTTCTATTTAGTTAGTGTTGTTTGATAGTACAAATATTCAACTACTTTCGCAAATCTCCTCCTCAATGATAATCTAGAATACTGTTAATTCTAATTCTTATTATATTGAAATTTTGGAAGACCAAAAGCCAAATGGATTGAAACGAACGAAAAAATCTGCAATTGCATTATCTATCAGATCTTATGAGATAGTAATAAGAGATGGTAAAAAAATGTCCTACAGAAGATCAAATGATTAATGAATTAAGTGAATAGTGTTCTGGTTTGGGTTCATCGATAGCTCATCTATGACAATACATAACATATTAATATTATTTGAAGGAATAATTTTATGTTCTTTTAAGCATATTATTTACACAAAAAAAAAATAAAAATAGTTCGAACCCAAGAACTATACTTGTAAACATTTTTTTTAAATTTATCTATATCCACAATACGTCTAGAAAAGTAATGAACTGAACAATTATTACTTAGCGTGACTCCACTAACCTTCGCAAATTGGCTTTGTGTTCAAATCGTATTTACACTTAAATGTAGTTTATTTTAAATATTAAATAATTAAATATTTTAAAAATTTTAAATATTTACTTGACATGTTCGCACTTGTGTAGACTTAAAGCGAAAAATCGCAAACAAATGCTTTACTAAAGATAAATGCGGGTATGTAAATGAGTGAAAAGATATTCTGACTTCATTCGCATGAATAATACGCGTACGTGAAATGAAGCTCAGATGGATTCGATACAGAATGCGATCTTCATAATTTTGGAGATACATTGTAAAAAAAGATGGATAATGTATAATGTAGACTGAAAGTCAAAAATTATTTCCGCATTGTAAGGAATAATA